TTTATCCCTTAGCATTTTTCTGAAATAGTGAAAAGTGATTTGTTTTGCGTGGTCACTGTCCCCATATTATAGCCAGTCAAAATGAATATGCTCGCCGCCAAGCTCCACCTTATTTTCTTAGCCCTCCAAGAACTGTGTAGCAACTTTTGCTATCCACCATTGCATCAAGCCTTCAGTTTTTTTATCACTGCCCGTCATGTTCGTAACTAATATGAGGTCAATGAGGTCCTTGGAAAAAAAAGACATGGTCCTTGGAAGTTTGCAGAAGAGTTTTGTGAGATTCAGTGTGGGATCAGCAATGAAATAAGTTTGGCAAATAAGTTTGGCAAATAGAAAGAATGTGCTAGTTTTATGGGCTCGTTTAGCCCAAACATTGTGAGCTTCAGACGGAAAAAAACCCAATAAAAATTACCCATCGAACATCAGCCAATCTGGACGCAAAGAAATCAGAACCAGCCATAAATAAAAACTCATGAGTGATGCATTCCTAATAGTAATCACTTTCAAGCAGATCCTCACAAATTGCAACATGATATATTAATTATTTATATTTTAATCTTAAATATGCTATACTACAAACTTACACTATTTTTTTTTTTTATGGTGCCCACAAGATCCTAGTTACCTAACTAGAGTAATCTAAACCTCACTGGATAAAAAGAAGCAGTTTGAACTTCTTACGAAACGCGAACACATGAAAATGTTAAGAGTCCAGGACATTTTGTGTCCAAGAACGGAATTATATAATTATTATTATTAACCAAAATCCAAGACGATCCATGAAAATCTTGGATGGGTGGCAACCCTAGTACTGTCCACTTATGATCGGACCACCTGGGTAAACAGGGCCTAAGTTCCACATAGAATCACATTTCAATTTACAATCAGTTTGAGTAGCACTTACAACAGAAAAAAAGACAACAAATGACAAAACACAGTTCAATTAGACCCATAAACTCTACTTTATTTCTTTGAACCTCAATGCCTCCACACCCCGTTCAATACATTCAGTATATACATTTGGCCAAGAGAGACTGTACAGAAATGTTCTATTAGTGCATACACAGGAGGAAACTTACACCGACACACCATCGCTGCACTCAAGAGCTCAATGTAAAGAGACTCGCGTGAGGCAACAGTGTATCGTCCAGCACAGACGCGCACACGATCACACTCACACAAACACACATGCACACATGCCGATAGAGAAGCCAGAAGAAAAAAGAGAACTGAGTGAAGTTTCAGCACATCACCCATACTCATTCACACTCACTCACACATTAGAGTAACAGTTGTCTACAGAGAGGGAGACGCCAAAGCAGATGCCAAGATAGAGAGAAAATAATCCTCCATTTCTCATTTATCTCCTTTCTTCTCTAACGCACCTCTTCTCATCTCCTGGCTTTTTCTCCTCACCTCTTCAGTTGTCTCCCTGTTCTTTTCACTACACTTCGATCCACTTGAACACTACGGTTTCTGCTCTCGTCTCTGGACCAGCAGTCATTTTACTCTCATATCTCCTCTCCACCAGCAGTTACTTTACAATCCTCTGCTTCATCATATACCTGAACATGCCTCAACCCCAAAACATCACTCGGTCAGCAGCAAGTTCAATTCAGATTAGAGAGCCTTATGTAAAAAATAACTTTCTGTTAAAGGAATACTGCAGTGTTTTTCAATCTAATGTCCTTCTACTTTATCTACTGCTTATGGTTGATTACCATGGATAATAAGCATTTGCCTGTACTTAGAAAAGAACAGAAAACCTGTTGACTCAGAACTCACTTGTGATCGACACCTTTGGGCAGTTGCTGAATTCCACCAATAAACACTGATGCAAAACATACCTATGTAGAACACTGAAGACCTCAGTCAAATATATTTGTAAATTAAGCTGTAAATCTGTATAATTTATTATTTTGGAGGGTCTAGTTTTCCAGAGGGAAGAATGTGTTATACTCGTGTAGTGATGCAGGTAGAGTTTCCACATCTGTCTTCACTAAACGTGCATGTTTATGTAGAATGTGACTGGAAATGCTTTTTTTCCAGTGTTCGACAGTTGATGAGAACAGCTTTGGTAAGACACTCATATATTTCTCACTCTAAAACCCTATTTGAGCTGGATTAGTTTAACTCCAGAAGGTGCTGTAATTTGAGTGACTATTGAAAGTATCTTTGATTTTGATCCAGTATGGATTTACAATTACTTTCATTTTTACAAGTAATAATTCAGGCACAATTTGCATAATTCCTTTATCTTCAAGTTCAAAACAGGACTACTGTAATCTACAATGTTGTTGCCTAATTGGAAGGAGAATGATGATTAAATAGCTTGAAAGTACTTCCCGCAGGGCAGTGCAACTGCTTTCATGTTGGGTGACATTTGGTAAGTGAATCTGCTTTACTAGCCTACTGCTGTTATATCTGGCATTAACTGGGAGCGTTTTTGTCGTTTGTTTGGACAAAAAACCATTTCATTTTGATCTCAGCACAGATGTAATTTTGAATTTGTGATAGTCATGCATTTCAAACCATTTCTTCAAGGAGTATAACACATGCAAAGACAAAAACCATTCCCTTGTGTAAAAGACCACCCTCCTTTCCAACCCCCCTTGGGTTAATGTGATATCACTTAAGATCTCTATTATCAATCCTTTCATCTTTCATCAATTTATGATCAGGCAGAGCATGCACACCCACAAAGGAGGTGGTTAGGTAGAACTGCATGCTTTTACTCCTCATTGGTTATGCTTTGGAATGTTTGGTACAGCGTGCACAATCACCGTCAGGGTTGCCAGGTTTGTGGTTTTCCTGCCAACTTGGGCTAGTTTAGAAAATGCAGGTGTGAGAGTACATGATAAAATTTCAGCTTCTGGAGGACAGCTTTTAAGCATACGTTAGGGATGGGTCTTTTTGCTGGACCTGGCAACCCTGTCTGCTGTAGAGATTTTTCAAGTTAATAAAACGGAAAATTAGAACTTAATCTTTGGGGACTGACCGATATTTAATGAAAGATTAATATTAAAAAGCAGCACCGCTGTCTACTCCACCAGAAACTTGCTAAGCTAACTTTGTCACTAAGTGACATTTTGCTAAAGCTGTGTTGATGGGTGTTAACATCAGGCCTAGTCTTCTAAATGTTGCTGGTAATTGCTGTGGAGAGTTTTGTTAGAGGACATAAAACGCTAATTAAAAGAGCTAACATGTCAAGAGACACCAATAAATTATTGATCATTCCATAAAGTGCCTCTTTGATGTTATTTATTTATTTATTTTTTGGTAATTGATGGAATGATACAGACATGGCTGACAGAGATTAGGTTGAAAAGCTTTACCGTATTCCTTTAATATCTGTTCAGAACTCATTTCATCAATGGCACACGTTACTAGCCAGGCCTCTCGCATACAAACACTGAACACCCTCCCTTTCAATAATTCAAAAGCACGAATTCTCTCCTGTTCTAACAAACACAACAGTCCTTCCATCTGCTGACTAAGACCCAATTCCCTTGCGAGACTTAAGGGCCATCACTGTCCACTGATGGACAGCCACTGACGTCTAAAAAACAGGAGCCTTGTCTCCCTGACCTGCCTCCCCGGCTCTCTCTCAGCTACAGCACAAGCACTCTTCCAGGAAAGTCACCCAGACCTATCTGATTCTCCTCTTCATGAGGTCTGTGGGGATTTAGGGGTAATTTGAGATGGGGAGTGCTTCTGCCCAAACAGAGGCACATTGGTCATTCGGTACCACTGTAGCTGGGCAAGGGGGAGCTGGACAAATTTTTAGAAAAGATTGCCATAAGCAACCATAAGGTAGTTCTTCTATTGTTTTCACGCCGTTTAAACTATACAGAGGGTCTATGACAAGAGTTTAAAGGTAATTTTAATTAGCATCATCCATTTGAGCCTCGCAGTCTTTTACGCCTGAAAGGCTTTACTTTACTATCAGTAAAGATAAACCAAGCCTTTCCATAAGAGGCTTACTATCAGGCAACAAAGGCAGAATCATGGGCAAAGCCATTGCATAATCTGACTTTATGTCTGTACCACAGTCAGGCTGTGCATTATCATCTCTATGGAACACTCACTCAGAAGACCATAAGGTGTTCAAAAGCCATCGCTTTTTTCAATAATTTAAATGTGTACATCGTTTCCACATGAACTGTATATATAAATCAACACAAGTACTACCAACTATGCATCTAAAACACAAAATTGTGTTCATGGTGTAATGATGTACAGTACTATGCATCATTTCCCAGGTCAAAATGGCTATTAAGTACAAGTATTCAGTATTCACTTTTCAGCACTGGAGGGAGGTTGGGGTCTAAATCAAAGCCTGATAGACCACCAAAATTGTGAACCCAAGGCATGTATAGCTGTCAAGAATGCAACCAACTTCTAAGACTGACCTCCAGAAAAAATATTCCTGCAGATTTCTTTGAGAAACTGAAAGCGAGTCTCCTGAAAAGAATGGAAGCCGTAATAAGAGCAAAGGGTGGACACATTAGATACTGAAAAAGTTGTTATAGATTATAGTCATAGATTAAGTTATAGAGTTGTTATAGATTAAGTTATTTTGTTTTTCTTAAGCTTAAAAAAGGAAACTTGTACTTAATAGCCAGTTGGACTGGAACGAAATAAATGAATGGTGGTCACTGACGTCCACAAAGTACTGTTCTGAATCAGGCAGATCCTATTCATTACTTTCTTTGCATTTGGTCTTCAGGTCACTACTTTCATACCAGGTCATTCATGAGCAAACAGACAGCGAAGTGAAGCAGCACTATGAGCACACGCAAGCACCTTAGAAGTGTTTAGAGTATTCTAGCTCATACACAAACACACACGCACACGCAAATGCCAATAACAGAACAGAGAGAACATAAGAGTCTCAGTCACCTTGTCTGGGAGTAAAAACACAGATATTAATAATCATCATTACTCCATAATAAATTACAGTCACAGGACATTCATCGAAAGCAGAAGTTTTGAAATCAGTTTGACATACTGGACTGAATCGCTTTTTCACCATGCATTTACAGTATAAGGCATGAACCAAACGTATGTCACTGGCATCACATACGAGTACAGAGTGACTTTACATACAAATGACGTTCATAAAACAACCTCCGGAGAACACAAGTACACGTCAACTTTTGATTGAGTTTAGGCAAGAAAAAAAAAAAAAGCAACTGTTCTTAAACCACAGGTACAATTTTGTGGAAATTGATGAGAGGAAGGGGGGAGCTGGATCAATATCTGCAATCTTATTGTACCTTATCGATCGGCTGATGGGTGAATTAAATTGATTTTTCTGAGGTAGACAATGCAGACATATTTCATTCTCCCTAGTCAAGAGCATCCTAAGCTGGGGGGATTGAATGTAAAGTGGCTCATTTTTATAAAACTACTAAAAGGTCCTTTTTCACGCTTGGCTGGGCCACACAAGGCAGTTCAGGTCCTCTTTACCATTATAGGACGACTTGGGTCAAATATGTTGCATTCAATCAGGTGCATTCAACCAGTGATGTCTGCTTGCGTTACCCAATACACGATCACACAATCTCATTTCTAACAGATCAGAAGAGAATGTTCCTTTTAGAGCAAATGAAGACACTTCAATAATTTGCATTCTCTTACTCAGAATGAGGGACACTGTATTAATTCAGTTGGATTCCGTTCTATCATTTCACGATGAAATACCAATTATGATATTCTTCACTGTCACCATTCAGAACTCATTACTTGGATGACAATTACACAGTAAGAATCTTATCAGGATGTCCAGATAATCAGAGTGGTGGATTCTCATACTTCGGCACTAGAGATTAATGTGGTTTCATCGAGGCGAAGGGCCCGTCCCCATATGTCCAGATATTTTTCATTAAAAATGTATTTTTTCCTCTGTGTTTTGGCCTCCTGTCTACAAAAGAAAACATCTTTTTTGCTCACTGAAAACAGCTTTTTGAAAATTGACATTCTGAAATTAATTTGCGCCTGGTTGTTGCTGTTACGGCTGACGACTTCCTGTGTGCTCGGCATTTTGAGGTTTTTATTAACGCCTTTATTTTGAATTTTACTTTCTATTTTTTTACACTGTTGTGTGTATAGGCGTCAAAATCTACTGTGTTTAGGTCCTCTAAAGGGACTCACTGCATTCTTCTTGAGATGTTTGACATCAGTTATTTACAATGTATTATCACACCCCACTGGGCCAGCATGCTCATGTGAGCATTTTTGAGTCGTTTTTGCATCCTTATGTGGACAAAGAGATTTCTCGGACAAGGCCAAAATACATCAAGTCACATTTGCAGTTTATGTTCTTATTGAGAAATATTTGTAATCGAGGTGGGCCAAAAAACTGGCAATGAAAAAAATTTTTCATTTTAGTGTAGTTTGCAATTCAGCAATGACTGCTAAATGAGAGTTTCGCCCAATTTTGGAGCTTCAGTACTGTTATACAAAGGACCCTTTCAGAGGTCAACACGGCCCAAGCAGTGTGGGTTGGTACTGATCGACAACTTGAATGTGTGTCAGCATTCACCACAGCTGAACTTTAAGAAATCAGCAATGCAAGACTCTTGATCAAGGTAACTGTCATTAAAATGTAGGTCATTAAGTTAATTTTGTGACCTGGATGGTGGCTAGCATTATGAACGGTACACTAGTATTACAAATGTATTGCACCACTTCAGTTCATGTCATTCAGAAGTGGCCATTCCACAATGATTTAGCATGATTTTTTATTACAGTGTGCATGATGCTGGAAAAGAGGACAGTCAATGAGGCTAAAGTGTGGGTGCAGGTCTAAGGTCGGGGGCTATAGGTCCATGTGGACAGGCAATGTGAGAAGAGAGGGAGAAGAAACAGTTCTGAGATTAGACAGAGATTTGAGCAGACAAAAGGTGCTAATTAGCCGCATTAGTCTGCTCTGTGGTCAGTGTTTGTTGGTTCCATAGTCCACTGAGCTGAGGGGACCCAAACATGGGACGTCCCACCAAAGTGAGGAACATCTTGGCCCGTGAAGACGTCTAGCCTTCACCTGTTTGGCTGTAGTGTTACAGTAGCACTGTGTACAAGTAGCCATTCATAAAGGCTTCATGAACACCTCATAATCTGTCAACATCAGTCAAGGCATCTATTTCAACAAACTCATTATGTACACTGGTGCAAGACTGGCTGTTGCAATGAAAGACTATATCCATCTGTTTCAGGCCAAATAACATGTTCAAGGGCATCTACACAGCATTTTTAAATGGCTATGTCATTCGTTCTGTGATGAAGTGTTACCAGCAGGCTATAGTGTCCGTATGGCCACGGGGTAGAGGAGGGACATATGCTCGGCTCCTTTGATTGGCAGCTTGCGGCTGGAGTAGAAGTGGATGATTTCTGGCACGCTGTCGAACAGACAGCTGTTCTGGCCCAGGATGTACTTATTGTCTTTGGTTCGCGACAGCTTCATATGCATGAAACCTTGGCTGCTCCTGGAAAAGTAGAGAAAAGAGAGGGAGGGTGAGCGAGAGAGGGAAATATATACAGAAGAATGACAAACTACAGGAGAAGCTGTATAAACAAGCAGAGAAACTTCCATTGGAAGATGCTTCCATTCAGGTGTACTGCATGATACAAATAAGCAGTTAACATCCCTACCATGGATGTTAATTGGAACTAAACTCTGCATGTATGAAAATATTGAAGAGACCCAGATTACAATTAATACACTGTGCAGGAACTGATCAAAATTGCATGAGAAAATGATCTAAATGACTTTGAAAAGAGGTTCATCTTTGGAATATAGATAGAAGGAGCTTCAATCACAAGGACTATTGGACTGGCTAGTGTTTCAAAAGGAACAGTGACTAAAGTGACATTTGCATTTAGGTCTCATGGAAACATCAGGTAGGAATTTAGGTCAAAACCATGCATTCAATGACTGTAATGCTGAAGCACTGGTGCAATATGTGGGGAAAAAACAGAAGACCAACTAAACAACCATGAGAAAGTGAATGCAGGACATGATCGGACTGTGTTAGCAAAAACAGTCTGTCCATAACTACATAAAGAGGGATACTGTAGGAGAGCAGCAGCGAATAAACCCCACATTACAAAGACGAATGCACAGTTCAGTGGTGTGAAAACCAGGCATTGTTCTAGAGAGATGTGGAAAAAGTGATATGGTCAGATGATTCATCCTTCACCGCTCAGGGGCCACTGAATGGTTTGCTAAATACAAACAATGTAATGATGGTCACCAACCATGATCCTGGAGATCTACCTTACTGCTGGGTGTAGTTCCTAACACAATCTGCCACAACTGCTCCAGCAAATTTACTTCTTCAGAAGTCCTTGACTGACCTGATCTAATGCATTAGTGTTAAATGAGGGCAGGGGACAATCATATTAGACACAGGTTGGGAATAAACTCTGCAGGATAGGAGATCTTCATGAGGAATGTTGGTGACCAATGCAAATAATACCCTCAGTAGTTACCAGATCTCAACTCAGCTGAACACCAATGGAAGATTTTGGACTGACGTGTTAGCTGCTTTCCACCACCATCATTAAAACACTAATTCAGGGGGTTTCTTTTGGAAGAATGGTGTTCCATCCCTCCAGCACTGTTCCAGAGACTTATATTCCAGTAGAACTTATACCAAGGTGCACTGAAGCTGTTCTGGTAGCTCAGTGGTCACCAACCCTCTTCCTGGTGATCATGTATAGAGTATAGTTCCAACCGGCATCTAACATGCTCCTCTCCCCTTAACTAACGCCAAATGCATCCGATCCAGCCAGTCAAGGGCTTCTGAAGAAGTTAGTTAGCTGGAGCAGGTGTGGCATTTTGCAGTTGGATCTAGACTCTATCTCCAAGACCTGGGTTGGTGACCAATGTGGTAGCTCATGGTGTCCCAATAACTTACCCAAAACAATTTTTTTGGTTTGTCACTTGTCTGTATTTAAATATGCAGTCAAAAATAAAACTTGCCATTTAGCTTTTGTTTTTTTTTAGCTTCCATGACTGATTAATAGACTGAAGTATGATAAAACAAATTAAAATGCTTTGAAAACACTGCAGCTTAATATAATCATACCAATAAAGCTTCTTTGAAGTTTAACTGAAAAAGGGAGAATGCATAGCAAAAAGATTAAGAAGAGCTAAAGGGAACAGCTGCTGATTAGATCTTAGCGGCTAGAGTGCTTGAGGAATTGCAGTTCATTTGGAAACAGATCACGAGAGGTAGGGAAAGGTACGGCCAGAGGAGTTCTGCCTTAATGAGTGAGCCGGTGCAGCCGGTTAAGGCGAGAAATCGTCACCGGGCTGGTAAATTTAAAATGCAAATTAAGAGCTCGTCCGCCGAGCGGCTCTGCGGGAGAGGGAGCTGCGTCTTGTGTTTCCTTAACCCAATTAGAGAGCAGTGATTTCAGTGTTTTACTGTAGTGCTCTTAAGGCAGCTGTGATTGCAGTGTTGTGTGGTCTATGTGGCTGTTCGGGAGGTTTAACTGAATGAAAAATGCTGCTGAAGGAAAGCTGTTTGCTGGCTGGGGATAATGCTGCGAGCGAGGTGTTCATGACACGGGCGTTTGATCACAGAGATAGCAGCAAAACACGGCGGGAAAGAAAAAGTCCTCAGGAGCCTATTCATCAGTGGGTGCTACACAAACACATGCTTTAAAAAAAAAGGAGAATTTTCGGTGAAAGTGACACATAGAGCTGATGGATGAAGGGATTTTATCCTTTCTCCATCTGCTTATGCCTTAAAGGGCCCATATTATACATTTTTCTTGAACTTGATTTGTTTTGCATTTGATAATTCATGTTTGTGTGGGTTTATATACCAACAAAAGCCATACTTCATTTTTACAGGACCATTTTTCAAGCTGCCTTGAAAGTTTTTGTAACTGTGCCTTTAAGACTGATACAGATGTGTGCAAAAGTTTGAATACCTCACACACTTTCTAAGCTGCTTGTCCTTCTGGGTCGCAGGGGGAGCTGGAGCCTATCCCAGCGGTCACTGGGTGGAAGGCAGGAAACACCCTGGACAGGTCACCAATCCATCACAGGGCATTTTTTGGCACACTTTAGTGCAAAAATTCGATTTATTTGCTGAGTTCAAAAATCAAATATAAAAATGTGTATATCAAATGTGCCTTTTGCACAGGTCACATTTTATGTTTTATTTTTATGTTAAACTCTACACGTGCAGAGAACGTACTTATTTTCGTGTAGAAAATCAACATAAGATGCAATTTGACCAGGGGTGTGCAAACTTTTGTGAACTTCAGTTTGCATATGTATTCTGTTGCATATGTAACCTTCTGAAACATCAGGAAACATAACCTTGAGCCACTTCCTTGGAATCCTTTGGAATGCTGCAGTGATCCATTTACTTCCCGACAGCCAGGAACATCAAATTGTTACATAGTTTTCCCACATCTTCCACTCCAATAGCTCTGCTATACTGTCTGCAGCAACACTTATCACTTCAGCATGAATGCGCAGGGAAAACTACTGGAGACTAAATAGGAAGACATGGTTATGACATCACAACCATAATGAACTCAAAAGAGACAGATGTTGCAGCTTAGGTTCGACATAAGGAAACCCCAAACCTTAACCACATTTACACAGTATAAACTCATTTTAAAAAAGTAAAAATGTTTGGTTTTCTATGATATTGATTAGCACTGATCCTGAGCCCTGTTTAAGTCTCCTGCAGAGAGAGTGCAACACTACTAGGTATATTCAATTAAAGCTTATTCCATCGCTCACTTATCTGCTGCTTGCACTGGCAAAGAACACTCCAGGCTTTCACCAGTATACTAGGTGATGTGGACCATAGACCATGCTGGTCACAGTGCATGACTGTAAACAGTCAGTGGTAGATTAAATAATACAGCAGGACTTAATTACACTACATGAAACTTACATGCATGCTGCTAAGAATAATGCCTTTCGCAGAAATACATTTCACAGAAACGGAAAGATTAAGAACCGTGAGTTTTATCTAAATGCCTCCTCAATCTTTTAACCCATTTAGGATCTTTTAATCCATATTCCTGCTGCACTTGGCACTTTAATAAAAATAATAAAAAAATAACTTGATCAGCTAAGATATGAACAAGCTAAACAATGACACAATTATTGCTTAATCAAGTTAAAGCAATTAAGCTGACTGCAGTTATTTTCCACAGTTGTTAGCTTTCACAATCACATGACTGTGATCAAACAAACAATTATTTTTGTTTTACCCATTTACTGACAGACAGAGGACTTACAAAACCAACAAAAGTTGAGAGCTACTTAATACTAAGTTGGGAGCTACGAAGTCTTGACCAGTAAGGAAGCAAATTGGCTGCAGCTAGTCAGCCGATTTGGCCACTATAGCTAGAAAGGGGAAGTTCATGAACAAATTTTAAGTTTGCTTGACAAAGCCATTACTGTGAAATCCCAGATGTAGTTATTTATATGGCAATTAATCAACATTTTCAACTAATTTTCTGATTGTGATAGGCCTATTCTTGTGACACTACATCTGTATTGTCTGACCACTAAATCATAGTAGATAGAAATCAATGTTCAGCGGCTATTTGTTTTTCTACATTTCTTCTTGAAATCTAAATGTATTGCAGAATTACTGTTTATTTGTTGAATCTACATCCAAATTGATGTTTTCCTTTTTTATTCATTTTCTTTGCACAGTACACTATCTTCAGTAATGTCTGTGTGTGTTCAAAAGCTGTCATAACTGACAATAGTGTATCAATAGTACAACTGTATCACCAAGGTACACAATAGTATCACCAAGTTACAGGTGCAGCAATTATCAGGCGACTGTAGGCAGACTTGGTGTGATGATTTTGGATGAAATATACAAATCAATCTATCTATCTATAATAATAAATCAATAAAAGAGCCCTCAACTGCCCCTTTATTTCCTACAATTGACAATATGCAGTGGTCACCCAAAGTAAACTGGCAAAAAGCCACATTATCCACTACTGGACATGAATTCCTTTTTACAGTTCAAATGATCTGAAGGGTAAATGAAGCCAAGAAAGACCCTTCAGTGTTTTACCTTTCTTGGCCTTTATCTCAGAATGAAATGTGACTTTCTTGGCGCTGTACTAATTCAGCCTGATTCCGTTTCAGAGGACATCATCTCAGTGCAATCACTTCATGTTTAAGCAAGTGTATCTGAGTCTGCAGAAGCTGTGTATCTGTAATTACAATCCCCTTCAGCCACACTCGCCATGAAATATAAATAAACTCCTCCAACACATCCATCCATTTAAACTCATCCCTCCCCTCTGGCTCGCTTGATTAGCTGGCCATCATTAACTGAGGCTTCATCATGAGAGGCCATTTCAGCAACCGCAGGCCGCCGCGAGGCTCTTAAACGTGGCCAGCGGAGGGAGAGGAGCTATAAGGCTAAAAGCACTTTTCCAAAGCACCTTTGATTAATCTCTCCATCATGGCAGAGAGAGA